TCCCTCTTCACTTCCTGTGACTGGCTCATTTGTGTAGAGTGTTGATAATGGAGTTGGGTCATGTAGCTGAGGGGATTCGGACAGATCACGCAGCTTCTTGCGATAAGGACGGAAATAGGCCTTTCCAGGTTCGATAACTCCTTCGAAGATGATTGCTAGTTTGTCTGCGTGAGGAACATGTTTCCTTCTGAATTGTGAAGCTCTAGGGTTTTCCTGTAAATCAATAAAAACAACAAAAAGAAAAGATCCAACCTTGTGCCAAAGCTGCAATATTTACCAAATGATAAACAAGATTTCGAGTAGCGATTTTACCTTTAAATAAGTTCTCCAATCCTCATCTGTTGCGCCGAAAGTACGAGTATTTTGATCCCATTTCATGATACTAGCACCAACAACTTGACACCATATCTTCCAAGCTTTCCTCGTACAATCCCAGTGGTTTTTCAGTTGCGCTCTTGTATAACTTCTTCCAGTGCTTTGATTGATCGTCTCAAGAATCGTTCTCCAACTTTCCTTTGGATAATGTGTGTCAGGTCTGTTTCCTTTGTAAGTCTCCTGGATCAACAAGTCGAGAAACAGCTCGTGTGTGGACGGTGACCAATATCCTTTCGACTGAGGAGTCGAGAAATTAGACGCACTTTGCATATCATCATCTCCAGTATCAGCTTCTTCTTCATGACGCCTGCTTCTTCGCTTCCTCTTGCATTTACTCGAAGCACCGTCATCATCTCTACCATCTATATTACAACCTTCAAAGATAATCTCTAGTTTCTTAAGGAACAATGGAGGACCCAACCGGTACTGTCCAGCATCAGGATTCACCTAGGACAAAACCAATTCATGTTTACCCTTAAGAAACAACCAAATTTACACAAAACACAAACAGTTCTTTGTACCTGTAAATAGTTGGTCCATTCTTCATCACTGGCACCAAACGTGTTTGTATCGGGATCCCATTTCATATCACTGCATTGAACAAGTCTACGCCATATTTTCCACTGTTTCACCATTGTGTCCCAATGATTCTTAAGCTGCTTTTTGTTAAACCTCGTCCCCGTCCTCTGTTGAAAAGGATCCAATATATGCTGCGTTCCAGGTTTATTCTCCAGCAGCTTTTGCTCGACGCATAAATCCACAAATATTCTATGGAATTCAGGATCCCACGCGGCTTTCGGCTTCATAATTCTTCACTATACATGTATAGATTAGGAAATACAAACAAACAAAAAACATAAGTTCCTTTCCAAAACATGATCACATTAAAGACTAAAATCCGCAGACATTCCGCGATTCCACTGGTTGTCAAATCGCAGCTTAAAACAGTATCCAAATCTATACAAGTATACAACCACATTTGTTTGGAAAGTTTAATCACATCATGTGTTTCCTTAAGCTGAATCAAGAACTAAGCTTAGCGAAATAAACTCATGAAATTACCCTAAACAAGTGCAAATGCTTACACTTAGAAACATATAAGCTTTTATCAATTGCAAATGCATAGATTCATTCTAATATTACCATATTTGCTTCAGACATTATTCATAAACATAATCAGACAAAACACATATACAGTAGCAAAAACAAGCTTCTATAACAATGATTCTGGAATGCAAAATCCTGGGAAAAAAACGACTAGATCGAATGCTCATTCATGTCGCTAACAATTATGCAATTAAGAGTTAGCTCTTTACACTAGATCGAGTCCTCTTTTACCCTAC